AAAGTCTGAATGAGAATTCCTCCTTACATACACAGAAACACACTGACACATACACACATACAGAGTCAATGCTTGTACAGCTGGTTTTGAATCAGCTATTGGGTAAATGGCTAGGTTTTTTACTAGCCAAGTGAGTTGATTTGTTACCACCTGCTATAAAGTCCAACTGATTCAAGGTAAAAATGCTTATGAGGTCCTAAAATATTTAAAATCTATACATTCCAAGTGCATATGGTAATGGTATTAAAATGTTCCTAATCTCGTAAACTCCCTTCTGATTCTGCTCACTTGATAACAGGGTGCCAGTTTCATTCCCAACATGGGTTCCTCTCTGAAGCCTCAATGAAATATTAGACCAGAGGATTCATGTACTCTGACATGGAAGCAATCATTTATTAAATGCCAATTTCAAGGCTAAACTGAGGTTTATGAAGACAGTACTACGGGAATCAGATATCAACTATATGTTTTAATAAATAATACAATGACCTTAAGAGATCATTATTCCCATAGCTAACAGGTCTGATCCTTTGAAAATAAGTTTTTAGCCAAATATCATATCTGTAAGAATTATTCATGATCATTTTATTTGTTAGAAGAAAAAGTGATATCCAAATTAAGGTTTCCATTTACTAGTTTTCTCCATCAAAGCTATGTGACAATATTGGACATCTTTCATCTTTTATCAGTCTATCTACAGATGGTCAGATTAGTTATTAAAACAGCGTGTCTGTTGTTTAGAGGGGAAATGCTGACTGCTGGCAACACATTAGAAAGGAGAAAAACAAAGGAGAAAAATGTTACATATTTACATATAGGAACAGGAAAAAACTGTATCTGTCTAAATTACACAGAGAAATGCTTTATCAACATGGAACTTTTTATCTCAATATTTGTTTATATGAGAAAGTGAGTTTTTCCACATTTTTGACAAATGTGGAAGTATTTACATGTTACATTTTTACACTCATTTGAAACTATTTGAAAATGTCAGAGTCCTGACTAGCTTGCTCAAGTTTTGCTCACAGATGGTGCTCTACCACTTGAACCATATTTCTAGTTTGTCTTTTGCTGTCTAATTGTAGGTAGAATGTTGTAGTCTTTTCTTCCCAGGCTGGCTTTGAATTGTGATCCTCAGATCTCAGCTTCCTGAGTAGCTAATATTCCAGGCATGAGCTATAAATGCTTGGCAACTGCCTAGACTTACATCCTTCTATCTTATCCTAAATCAGAAATATGCAATTATCACTCACAAATGTTACAGTTCCTTCTAATCTAATAAATTTAAACTTATTTCACTTCTGTTGAACTCTAAGGCAGATTTTTATGGACTAATTATTATTTCTATTTCAATGCTGGAACAGCTCAATCTTCCACCAAGGGGATAAGAAAGTTGTGAAAAAAATCATTGTCATAAAACCTGGTAATTTTAGTATTTTACTAACTAAGGACACATTCATTGAATATTGCTGTAATAAGAAACCTAAATTGAAAAATGTCTACAAATAACCATTCTTGGGAATAGGATGTTTTAAATAATAGGCAATAATCAGTGCTTTAAAAGGTCATCCCTTAAATAGAAGTAAATTTTAAGGAGGATATTTATGGGAAGTCAAATGAAATTTAGTATTGGATCGTATTGACCTGGTACTGTCTGAGACGGTCCTTCAGTTCCTACATTGATGTCCCTGGTGATGTTCAGATGCCATCTTACTTCCTTATATAGGAAGTACTATCAAATGCCTTTACTGGAGCTTGGACGTCATGCACATTTTGTAGAGCTTCTGCTTACAATGTTCATTCCCTTTGAAACAATCATGGACTCATTCATTGGTAAAAGCTTTATGAAGTCAGGTTATAATTCACGAGCCATAGTAAAGATAGGAGTGAAAAAATAATGTGTCCTAGAATCAATGAAAATGTCTTCTCCATTGTATTCACCTCGACATTAGTTATGAGGTTTTAAGTAATGTTAAAATGAATAAATTCCCAGTAACTAATGTTATCACATACTTGTATCTTCAAAACCATTTCAAATATTCTGGATTTTTTGTGTTTTCTTAATTCATCTGCATAGTCAATTACCTAGTCCATCCATCATGAATGAGAACTAAGAAAAATAAATGTGAATCAATTCAGGTAAGTTTCAAATTGTTTCTGATTAACTTCAAGCAAAGATTGTGTTAATCATGTGCACACCCATGAGTGTACCTGTTTGGCAAAACAAGCTGAGCCCTAAGGATGGTAAGTGTCATTTGGTTCTTCATGATCCCCGAAAAGTGGTCGCTGTTCAGGGTCCTGAATTATACTATTAGATGCAGATAAGGCATCATTCATTCTGCATAAAACAAGCCAACAAAAATATAACAAAGCTGAGGTTTTATTTTTGCAATTCACTCAAGCCATTCTAAATTAGGCACCAGTAGGCCACAGGGCTGAAGTTTTATAAGTTTTTTACCAAATTTTCATAAAATAATACCAAGATACACAAAGAATAAAGTGCTCTTAACAATTGCTTTATTAATTGGACTGTTTCAAGGACTTACTGGGTTTCATTCTCTTATTTGCTAGTCTGTGTTGTTATAAAATGCAGTTTGTCTTAGGTAACATTCTTTTGATTGAGGTTTAAATGTTTTTTAAAGTTTTGAAAAGTATTGTTTAAAAATATGTTTAAAAGTTTATTTGAAATTCTGTTTTTGTAAATGGTATTAAGCAGTCCATGTACACTAATGTAGATATACACAATGAGATTTTTTAAATAAATTTATAGATGTGTAACATGACAGAAATATTTAGTCTTTAAGTTTTAAAAGTGCTGTGATTCAGAATGTCTGTGGTATTTAACATGTGTTTATTTCTAAAATATAAACACACTATTAAAACAAAGCTTAAAATAATATATTTTGCATGATTCAGAATCAACAAGGAAAGTTGCTATGCTAATTAATATTTTCCATCAAAAATACATCATATAGTTTTAAAGTTTTTAACAGGGAAAGTAATGGGATTAAAGTCACCTTAATATTTTTTATTTAAATTGTCTAGGAAACACTATGGATTTCTGCAAATAAAGAATGCAGCTACATCATTTTATGGGCTAGAAATAAACACATCTTTATTAACACTAGAATATCATTTTGTTTAGTATTGAATCCAAAATGCCTAGAATGGAGATGGGCTTACTACTGATGCCCATGTACATTTTTATAACAAAAACATGAGTACTGTTACATTGAGCTAAAATATTCATAGTTATTAAATGATTAATAGGCCTAAATATGTCACAAATGGGATTTGTATTCATATGTATATTTATTGTACAAAAAATTTATATAAAGTTTATTCACGTTAGTATTTTTCACTTTTATGTTTGCTGTTGAATTAGATGCTATTATGACATTTGGAATGGTGACCATTTGAAAATTACTTTAGGATTCACATATTTTTATTTGACATTAATTTGTTAACTTCTGTATAGAATTTGTTTTTTTGTCTTTTCCCAATCAACCCACACTTCATTTTCTATGATTATTCTATACTTGTTAAATAGGTGATGCTATCTGACATGCTTTTAGAATAGCAATTTTATTCAGCAGTCTAAGCATTATTTTAAAAATGGGGTTGAAAATATGACCCCTTAAATAGAATTATTTGTAATATTAGTGCAAAGGAAACACATAAGACAAAACAATCATCATTTTTAACATATTTTGAAAACAGTATTCAAGATTACAAGAACTCTAACTTTGAAGTCAAAAAGAAGAAACACCTCAGAAAACTTTCCTCGCTTGGTTGCCATGTATTCATTTAACAATCCAAAGATACTCTACAAAATCTTCTTTCTACTTTGCATAAGCCCCAGAAAAATCATTAAGGTACAGCTAATTTTGGTTACAAGATTCTTTATTTTGTAAATTATACATAAACAGCTAGAAAATGAAAATGCATTATACTTTAAACATCGTATAAGGTAAACATTTTTTATTTAGTGTGTAAAAATTAAATTGAAATTATTCACTGATTTTTCTTTCACTGAATAGTATACCAGGAAATCAGTTAATCCACGATGAGGATGGAAGATAGCAGTGTGTAACACTCAACAAGTTTTCTATTGTGGACACAGAGCCATTAGTTTGACAGTCTTAGAAGAGACGGTGCCTACACAATTAATTAACATGCTAACTTAAATATAGTAATTAAAGTAATTTGTTACAGTTAAATATTAAATGCCACTTTACACAATTATAATTATAAACAAGTCCACATGGCAATTATGTAGCAACAGAAAAAAAGAAAGAACCCTATTCCATTTTCCTCCTGCAGCAGCGGTACCCTTACTGGCATTAACTTGAGTTAGGTGTGCTTAAATATTGCCTAATATCCTATATTGGTATGCATGCTAAACCTTTCTATTTCTATTTTTGCAAGGCACCTTACAATACGTTCTCTAAGTTTCTGCACTACAAACAAAAGCATAATTCTAAGATTAAATGCAAATTTTTATCTAAAGTAGGAAATAAAATGAAAAATAAAATCTCTTTTCATTGGGGCAAATGAAAAAAATGAATGGAAATATTGTGGAAATGAATCATTCACTTAGTGTGTCTGATTTAAATTCTACACCCTAAATTGCTGGTCAGAAAGATAGAGTAAACTTGAAATCATGCTGTATAAGAATATTAAAAGAATCTACATGAGTCTGCCATTCAAACTGAAATAAAAATCAGAAAGGATAGTTTAGTATTTTGAGAATCCACAAGTCTACAGTGGTCATTCTGTCTTACTACATGGTATCTCTCTCACCCTGACTCAGAGAAGATGCTATATTGAAATTGAAATTGAAATTAAAATCGTGCATTATTTTATAAAAATCCTTGGGGTCCACGTCACCAGGAAATCTTTGTAAATTTAGCTCAGGCTATTTCTCATAATACAATAGCATACGAGCTATGCTATACGAGCACAAGCTCTTATTGTCAGTTTTTATAGTTATGGAACATAAATAAAGTTTGTTCTTTTGAAAAAAATTACTCCCCTAGATCTTCACAACTTCCCTTTTTCTGGCTATACTCTATATGCACTGTCTTTCTTTCTAAGGCATAGATAAACTGAAAGCAAATGACTCTTATTTAAACATCAAAGTTCTAGGAATTTTGCTACAATATTTGTAATAATTATACAAAATATATGAGAGGTTTAGAATCATTTTGTTTGGGGGTAGGAAGGTAACTCTCAATAGGCTGTAATTTTGTAAATATTAGAAATGTAGGCTCTATTGACCTCAGCTGGATCAAATGTACCCATCATGATCATCACCATCGTCATCATCATCCCCTTCATCTTCATCATCATCTTCAATTTCTTCTTTAGCATTCATCATATCATCATCATCTTCATCATCAGTCCATTCACGGAGGTCTCCACTTGCAAAATCTCCAGAGATCTCAAAATCTATAGCTAAAAGTTAAAAAAACAACACACAAATACTTTATTCACTTGTTTGAGGAGTAGGTTGACTTCAAATTTAATTGGTAGACATAAGAAAAATACAGTTTATGGAAAGATGTCACATGTTAAAATCTATTAATTTATTGTAGCAGAATCATTATAACAATGTAAGAATTTTCAGCCGGTAATATAGATCTCAACCCAGGGTTATAGAAGTTCATGTCAGACTAAGAATTATAAAGTATATTTAAATTTTCTTTGACAAGCTGAGAAGGAAGAATAATGATCTCCCAAGATATTTGCATCCTTAACCTGTGGAATCTTCAGACAGGGTACTTTTTCATTGAAAGGAACTTTGCAAATGTGATGTGGTTAAGGACTCTGCCAAAGGGGTGCTTACTCTCCATGTGGCCCAAGGTGTCACGTGGCTCCTTAAAATTAGGGGTTAGATTGTACAAAAATAAATGTAGTCTTTGTCTGACTTATGTAAATGCAGCCCTTCTGTATGTCACCTTCACAATTACAATAAAAATGCATATAAAAGAACCGTCCCGGATAGAGTCGGAAGGAGACACAGAAGAATGGTCTCCAGAAGAATAGTCAGAGAGAGAATCAATGTTGTTGGTATGAAACTGGAGAAAACTGTGCACAGGCAAGGAATTTAAGTTCTACAGGGTAGGAAAAACAGGGAAATCAATTTCTGGGACTTCAGGTAAAATTTCCACTCTGCTTAATGTATCATGTTTAGTTTAGGAGACCTGTTAGAATCTTGACACTCAGGACTGAAAAATAATAAATTTGTGTGGATTAAGCTTCTAATGTAGTAGGATTTGTTATGATAGCAGTGGGAAAAAAACAATACTCTTAATCAATTAAAAAACTATTATAAATGCAGCTGTTAATACTTCTGGCGGCAATAATACATTATATCTCAGCATGTGTTTACATTTCTACTCTTTCAGTATAATTGCATCTTTTTTTCAAGTTTCCTAATATTTACTTCTATCTTTCTTTGGTAGTTTAATGGAACAAATCCCACTAATACAATAATCCAAGGTCTACAAAGTATGGTTTCATACTACAATTCTATGTGAGGAAATGGTGTTTTCAAGTTCTACCTTTGTATATTTTCTTAATTTCTACAGAAACCCTATTCCCACACAATTTCTCAGTTAATGTATTGAACTAATGTCTATACAATTTTAAAGTACAACCTACAATATTAGAATTATCACTGGCACTCAGATAAAGTTATTGATGTCACAGCCTTTTAAAGATATATATATATATATACATATATATATACATATATATATTACAAAGACATGTAATGTATACGTATATATTACAAGGACATGCCACATGTTAAAATTATAAATGGAAATTATAGTGTGCTATTGAACCTATCACACATACAAAATCAAGTCAGAGATTAACAATACTATGGAAGCTGGATGTTGGGGGCTCACACCTGTAATGCTAGCTACTCGGGAGGCTGAGATTTGAGAAAGCACGGCTTGAAGCCAGCCTTGATAGGAAAGTCTATGAGATTCTTCCCTCTAATTTACCATTAGAAACCCAGAAATAGAGCTGTGGCTAAAGTGGTAGAACACTAACCTCGAGCAAAACAAAAATCACAGGGGGAATTCACAGGCCTTGAGTTCAAGGCCCAGGACTGGTAACAAAATAAAAATGAGGGAATAATTAAAATCAGAAGAGGAATTTAAGGGTTATATATAATTACTTTTTCTTGTGTACTATTTCTCTTCCCTAAACAATCTTCATCAACGAGCTTGAAATTTCATGAGAGAGACATCTAAACATTTTCTAATGTTTGAATGACTAGGCACTTAGTGTTGATTTTGATCATTAGTATTAACCAAGACACAATCTGTTAGTCTTGCAATATGGGTTTGTGGAGGGAGTGAGAATGTGTGGGGAAGGGGGTCTCTGTACCTCAAACTGGTAAAATACTTGTTGCTAAATATATACATAGTAAAAATAAAATAATATTTCAATCCTGATTTCTGAAAATATTTCTGAAGCATAAAAATATACCCCCTTTGAACCTTTAAAATGTATCCATGTGAAGTTTATATTGTTAAATTATTTTCATGTATTTACATAAAAATACATGCTCATGAGATAAGTGTTAACTAATGTATAATCATTCTTTAAATAAGTAAACTACATTTTCTTCACCCAAATATGAGAAAATATGCAATATGCTGATTACACATACACTTTATGGAATTTTAAAAAGATTTTCCGTTGGTTTGTTTGCTTGGTGGATGTTTACATATTTCTTAAGTCCCTCTGTCCGGAGTAATGCAGACAAAAGGGCTCAACTCACTTGAAATATAATGAGTGACAGAAGTCTACTTGGTATGTTCTTAAAAGCATTCAGAGTTTGAAGGAGGAAAATGATATCAACTTTTAATTCTTCTCTTAGTTAGTCTTGAAATTCCATATCGATTTCCACATAGATTTGCAATATCCTAGTCACAAGTCTTCTCGCCTCTACCCTCCTATATTCTGCCAGCTGTAGAGAGGCTGTCTTCTTTCACTAACAGGATAAATTCATGAGGCTCAGAAACACTTTGTCTGGTGTGGGAAAGAAATAACCTTGCAGCTGGGCACTGCTGTCGCGTACATGGAATCCTAGCAACTCAAGAGGCTGAGATCTAAGGATCATCGTTCGAAGTCAGCCTAGGCAGGAAGGTCAGTGAGACTCTTATCTCTCATTAACTACCAGAAAACCAGACATAGAGCTGTGTGTGGCTCAAAGTGATAGAGTGCTAAACCTGAGCACAAAGAGGCTCAAGGACAGTGCCCACGCCCTGTGTTCAAGCCCCATGACTGACCAAAAAAATAATAAGAAGAATAAACTTTTTACTTACCACAGTCAGCAACTCCATTTATTCTGGATCCTATGACTTCATTTCCGTATCTGTCGACACACCAACACTGCCCCACACTGCCATGGCACTGTGTTGGCTTGTAGTAGCCATCTTCATCACACAGGGGGATGTACTGTCCTGTCAGACACACACAGTCACACACAAACACGCATGTTAGTTGTATGGAGAAGCTGTGCTTCTTTCCAAGGGTCCCCATTAGGTTCAAATGTGCTTCAGACATGCCCTTCAGAAGTGTCCACCAGGTTCCAGGTACTAGGTAATACTTAAGTTCTCTGCTCTTGTGGGACTGGCCTTCCCAACAGGAACTGCTTACATTTTATAGGTTCTTATCCTGTGATGCACAAATTATTAGCATTTCTCACTGTGGCAAGGGTCGTGCATCCAGAGAAATAAGACAAGTAAAATCTGGTGAATGCTATGTTTATATCAAGTCATCCAAACCAAAAAAGACTACTGTCACTGGAAACTTTCTGTTGTTATCTTCCCTTAAGTTCTTTTGTTCATATATTTCCAGATCATTGCACATGCAGTGATGCTTAATTTAGTGATGCCTTTTCTCTTTATGCATTTCTTGTCTCAATGGAACTACATTCATCCTCCCATTTTTTAAGATTTAAATGTGATCCTCAATATGCAAGTGTCCCCTACATTGGAAATGTGATGTTGTTCTTCCATCGTGAGTGATTGAGTATGTGTATGCATCTGAGTATGTTCATGTGTTTCTTGCTTACATTATCATTCATCATTATCACTACCATCTGACATCAGATACGCAGATATATTTATGTTCTCTAGACTTTTATTGTATGAACAACATTTAAAACTACACACTAAAGGCAGTATTGTTTAACAAAAAAGAATAAAAGGTAGATATTTGCTTTTATATGTATAATATCTCAAGTAGTGAGCAATATATTGCTGATGATATTTAATTAGCAATATATAAGGCCCTGAAAACCTACAGTAAAAGCAACAACAGGAGAATTTAAGTTCTTGATCAGAAAACTGATGTCTGTCCAGAAACTTATAGGGTCAAAGAAAATAAGAAGTGAATCAATGTATGAAATATGACATTTTTGTAGTCTCTCACCATCGGCGATAGTGATTTTTACTTCTCAAAAGTTTTTGATTCTGATGAGCTAATGATGAAAAGTTTAGCACTTATAATTTATTGGATTGGTTTGATCTTTTAATCTCAGTGACAAATGGAGATCATCAGTGTGGGAAATTTGTGGCCTTTCATGGATTCATGGTCATCAACAATAAGAAAAAATGTGCCATTTTTTAATACCTACACTTTTAAAACTATTGAGATTTAGCATAATGCTATGACTTAGTTTCATGCCAGTGATCACTGCATATAAATAAGAGAACATGCCGGGCTCATGGCTGCAATCCTAGCTACTCAGGAAGCTGAAATCTAAGGTACAAAGATCATGACTCAAAGCCTACTCAGTCAGGAAAGTTCATGAGACTGTCCCCAATTATCTCCAGTTAACCGTCAACAAGCCAGAAGTGAGCAATGGCTCAAGTAATAAATTGCTAACCTTGAGCACAAAAGTTTAGGGACAGCTCGGAGGCCCTGAGTTCAAGCTCTAGACCTGGTATACATGTATATGCAGGGGTGAGCAAGCATGTGTACATGCACACACACAAACACACACACAGATATTATCAAGAATTGTTCTAATACTAAGGAAAAGAACACAAAATGAGTCTATATACTGGAATATATGACAATCTATTATTAATTAGAAACTCATTAACTTTCAGTTACATGCCCTTAACCTACCCAAATAAACAAAACATGTATTTAAGGGATACAGTAGTTTTCCTTTTCCCTCCCTCCCTCCCTCCCTTTCTTCCTTCCTCCCTTCCTTCCTTCCTTCCTTCCTTCCTTCCTTCCTTCCTTCCTTCCTTCCTTCCTTCCTTCCTTCCTTCCTTCCTTCCTTCCTTCCTTCCTTCCTTCCTTCCTTCCCTTGCTTGCTATGAGCTGAATAAGAGTTTTGTGTTTGGTGGCAAGTGCTCCATCACTTGACTAATGTTTCTAGTTCTTTAAAAAATATTGCAATTATTTTTGAGATTATTTTATGCTTCTGCCAAGGGTTGTCCTTGAATTAAAATAATCACAACTATGGTTTCTATGTAGGTGGATCACAGTTGTGAGCCACCAGGCCTGCTGGATAATAATTCATTTCTAGTAATGACTAGTAATGATATTCATCTAGTCTTTCCAGTAATGACTTATTTCCAAGATTTCCTTTTACATTTTCAATGAACATCAAGGGTGCTTCTTCTCAAAAAGGCCTCAGTGTTAGGGTTTTTGTTAGTTAATTTCAAGTAATTCAAGCCTAGAGTTTATATTTATTTACCCGTAGACTTTGGTAAAGTCTACAATAGTTGCCAATTGTATTTTAATGGCTTTTCCCATTATATGAGGGAAAACTTCGATTTGAAGAGACAAAAGCCTTTTTCAAAGTACATTTCCAAATTTTTAGATGATAAGAGAAACACAGCATGATGTAGTGCTATCATCACTGCTCACGCTTTAAAAATTTATTATAATTGCATTCATCATTTTAAACATTGGACTCTGAACTCACAAGTGTTGAGCTAACATATCTCATTTAAACGTAATGTTTTACAATTGCAAACATGGTACATTGAAATGTAACACAGATCAATCCGGTCTTATAGATCTGATATTATAGAGTCATTTGCTTCTACTGCATTAACATACATTGAAAGAAACATGACTTTTGTGATATCTTAGTTTGATACAAAAAGAAAAAGCACACCAGTGAAAATGCTGGTGAAATACAAACAGAGTCTCTTGCTTGGTAGAATGAGAGCAATCCTAAATTTTTAGATTTTACAAATGTGCTATGATTATTTGGTGCAACAAGGTGCAATGAGAAGTACAAATCATTATGTCAAAAAACGAACTTTACAACTTTAAAGGGGGGGACTGGAGGAGGAGATGGGAAGGGACGGGAAGGAGAAACAAAGGAGGAGGCAACAATGCTTGATAAGAAATGTACTCATTATCTTGCCCATGTAATTTTAACCCCTCTGTATGGTATTTTCACAAGAAAAAAAAAGATGCTGAAGGGTGAAAGATGGATGGACACCATTATCTCTCTTCCTAACATTTTAAGAATTTAAAATTATTTTAGAAAGATTTTATTTAAAACTCTTATGCTTTTAAGAATAATCGATCACCTGGAATCCTAGCTACTTGAGAGTTGGGTACTGGGGGACTGGTACTGGAGAATCCAGGCATAAAAATCTGTGAGACTCTAGCCCATCCAATGTCTAGACATGGTGGCAAGCAGCTGACATCCCAACTATAGAGGATACACAATGGCTACATGCAGTGTCCTGTGTCTGTCACCCACAGAGACGTGGTGAAGAGCACGTGTGAAGATCCCAGCCCAGACTGATCTGACAAAATGTGAGACTCTATCTTGAAAATAAACGTGACAAAAAGAATCTCGATTCATGACCCAAGTGGTGAGATGCTTGCCTTCCAGCTGTGAGTCCTTGAGTTCAGTCTTCTCCAACAAAGAATAAATAACTAAATGCAAAATTTACTCTTTGATAGCAAAACGTTCATATATAAAAAGTGCTTGTCTGAAATCTGGTTGAAATTGTCTACATCTATCTATCTATCTAGATCTATATATCTACATCTTTATCTGTCTATCCAAAAAAGTTTCATTATCTTTCTAAAACTCTGTTCCTATTTCTCTGAGATACTCAGAGAAGATTTTTCACTAAATCTGTACAACGACATATTTTAAGTATTATCTGCTTAGTATACATGTGTGTGTATATATATATACATATATATGCAGTCAGTTCTTAAATTGTTACCATAGAATTAGAACTTTCTGCTGATGTTTGAACTTTAGTATTGTTGCAATTTCTTTCCTTACTTAATAACGTTCAAAATGAACATTATATTAAGGTAATAAAACAGACATCATATCTTTCAATAGGTAAGATACTAAAAGTAAGTTTAATGGCTTTCAAAAAGCTCATAAATTCTGTTGCAGGAATTTAGTGCAGTCTATCTTTGTTGGATTAATATTGATTTTATGTTGCTGTTTCCCTGGGGTTATTTATGTAAGCAATAAAGCCTTCAGAAGAATGAGCTATTACTCACCTAGGAGCTTCTTTACCCCTTGTCGCTTCTGGATATTGCTGAGTTCTGTCTGGCAAGGTGGGTCTAAAATGACATGAAAAATGTTACCTCCAGGATTATAGTTAAATTTTGTAATCTCTCCATTATCCAACTTCAAACAGCTTTTGTGTATCAGTAGAAGACACCTTTTAAATATTAATTGACATTCTGATATGGAACTATTCATATAGATATGGGAATAGGAAGAAGAGGAGGGGATAATGGAAGAGGAGGAGGAAGAACTAGAGAGAGAGGGAGAGAGAAAGAGAGAGAGAAAGTGAGACAGACAGACAGACCAGATAGAGAGACACATAGAGAGAGACAGAGCAAGAGAGCAAAAGAGAGAGACTGGTTTTCTAATCATTACTAATATTAGATCATCTGTCTTTAGAATGATAGAATTGACTAGAAAAGAAAATAACATAAATATTTATATGATATGAAATGCTCAATAACATTTATAAGGTCAACAAAATCAATTATTTAAATCTATGGATTATTTGCCCAAACAAGTAGCTTATTTCCCTTTAATTGAAAATATTTTTGAAGATACAAAGAAATCATTTTCATTATGAAAGATAGATTTTATTAGAAGTTATGTCACAGATGCAGACTTTAATGTTATATACTATTAAAGAGCTATATGTTCTTTCTGGACTTACCAGATGCTTAAATTTTATATGCAATTTAAACACATGGCAATATATCCAATTATTTCTGATAAATCATTATATAATTTTGTTTGGTTGGTCATTGGACCTGAACTCTGGGCCTGGGCGCTGTCCATCAGCTCTTCAGCTCAAGGCTAGCGCTCTACCACTTGAGCCACAGTGCCACTTCCGGCTTTTTTCTTTTTGCTTATGTGGTGCTGAGGAATCGACCCAGGGCCTCATGCATGCAAGGCAAGCACTCTACCACTGAGCCACCTTCCCAGTCCCCCCCTCCCCATATAAAATTTATCGGAATCTTTTGAACCATTTTTGAAATAAATACTTGGGTAGTTTTCAAACTCAGTCACTTTAAAGAGAAAATAGGTATTGAAGTGTAAAATTTTAAATGGTCACAATATAGTTGCTCTTTGTTGTTATTTTATAGCTACTATATATATATAACCATATGTATTGTTATATAATGTGTAGTTTTCAAACTCAATCACTTTAAAGAGAAAATAGGTATTGAAGTGTAAAATTTTAAATGGTCACAATATAGTTGCCCTTTGTTGTTATTATTATATTGCTACTATATATATATAGCCATATGTATTGTTATATAAAGAAAGTTTAATACTTTATATTCATCCATGGTATGGTGTAACATACATCATCAAAAACCACTGAAATTGCAAAATGGCCAATTAGTTTCTATAACCACTCATTAAGGTAAGATACAATTAATTCAAATAATTTTGAAATCAGTTTAATATACCAAGTTCAAAATATTCAATTATGAAATGACATGTAAGTAATAAAGTAGAATGAAAAGGCTTAAATAAGTTTTATTTTATTATATCAGTTCAGAGTTTTTCTATCTTGTAAAATAGAAAAAGTGAAGCAAATAATTCATTTAAATTATCTTATTGCTCTAAATTATCTTTGAATTGATCCAATTGTCCTCTTTGATTGTTTTTTTCTAATATCCTTATATATCTCTTAAACGAAGTAGTCCAAGACTGTGAAGATGCACTGCATGGACATAAAAGAGCTGAAGTTTCAATGTTCTCTTGTTAGAGAATATCATATCATATCTTTTGCATATGAGCTAGTTAATGTAAAGTAGAATTGATAATCCTTATGTACACATGCCTGAACATCCAGGTACTTTTGTAATTTCTGATTTCCTACATCTTCTTATAAGCCTGACTACCTTATAGGAGCTGGAACTTACAAGAGTCTACAAGTTCTATATAATGGAACATTTTAAGATTTTAGGAAATAATCGTGACCAATTAAGCAGTTCAGTAACAAGTAGGATTTATTTTTAACCATATCCTTCTTACTATTAATAATCTAGCTTTGAAATTTCAAGGCTCCTCCTTTGTAATTTTATTAAGAATGTCAATATAGGCTCAATGAAACAAATATGCATATATTAGTATATGCATATATATACATATATAATATGCTAAATATATAATTCGGTATATATAGGGTATAATTTGATGCTTTGGCCTATGTATACATTGTAGAACAAGCCAATCAAACAAATAGATGCATCACCTCATCAACACATTTCTTTATATAATGCAAGAATTAAAAAGAAAAATTGCAACACAAATATGTTTCTATGTTTCTATGGCTGTTTTTCATCCCTCTCTCTTGATCTCCTGCTCTCCCAGAAATTTTTTTGAACCATTTTAATCTCACTTCCTGGAAAATCAATCTTGTAGTTTCCTTGAAAATGTTCATATGCATGTATTTTGAATGATCAACTTTTAAACATGAAAAGATATAATATTCTGACACTGAAAACTAAAAAAAAAAAAACAATTGTCATAAAAACTGCATGTCTTAAGCCGGTCACTGGTGGCTCACACATGTAATCCTAGCTACTCAAGAGTCTGAGAACTGATGATCATGATTCAAAGCCAGCAGACAGGAAAGTCCATGAGACTCTTGCCTCCAAAAATTACTCAGAAAATTGGAAGTGGAGCAGTGGCTTAAGTGGTAGAGTGCTAGCCTTGAGCTGAAGAGCTGAGGGACAGTATTCAGGCCGAGTTCAAGCCCCATGATGAAAAAAAAAAACAAAAAACAAAACAAAAAAACAAAACGAAACAAGAACAAGAACAAAACTACTGCGTGTCTTTTAAGACCATTTATCTGGATTTATTTCTTTATGTATATGAATCCATATATCTATCTATCTATCTATCTATCTATCTATCTATCTATCTATCTATCTATCTATCTATCTATCTATATATGGATTCACTCATAGTAAGAAGGATGCCTTTTTTTTTTAAAGAAAAGTTTGGTCCTATTGAGAGCACATATATAATAAAGTTAACAATGGGTGTATAGTTTTTTGGCTATAATATTTTGTACCAGTACCTGATATTGAAATTAGTGCCTTGTGCTCTTCCTTGGCTTTCTTGTTCACAATTAGTGCTTTGTCACTTGAGTCATTGTTCTAATTAAATCTGGAATCTCACTAACTTTTCTGCTCAGGTTGGTTTTGAACTTGATCCTCTAGGTTCCAGTCTCCTGAGTCACATGTGAACCAATGGAACCAAGGAATAATGTGAGCTCATTCATATGTGCCATTTAGAATATATAATATAGCATATTCATTTTTGAATTTAGGGTGTTATAAAGAATCAATCTTCTCTACTCAGTAACATTTTCTGACTTACCACATCTATTCATTAATCATTGCCTCACGATTACTAAATTTTTACTAAATATGCAAAAGAAGCCAAGATGGTAAAACATCAGCTATACTCATAATTATCTGTTCAAAATATGATCATTGACATAGTTCATTCTCTGAACTCTTAAATATTTTGAAAACATTGTTTCCATAGTTTAATAGAACAATTATAATGAATTTTCTTAGATGTTTCTTTATATGTACTCAATAAAAATAAAAATTCAATATATTCTATTAAGCATGATTCTTATTTTAAATTATATTTATATTTTCTCAAAAAAGAGAAATGTGTAGAAAGAACAAGAGACATTCTAAGCTATCCTCTGGCCTCTCTTTCTCCAGGATATTAAAAGACTAATAAAAGACTTTCTTTGCTAGTGAATTTTTAGAAAGCTAAACTATTTTGAAAAGCTTGAAAGGCATCATTTTTATGATAAAAAGTATAAAAATAACTTGGTGGTGAATGCTCTGGTTCATTCAGCTCATTTAATAAGATCACAAAATGGAACATTAAAACTCTTCAGTATAGTGATAAAAAAATCCCAATTATTTTTCACCATGGGCAAAGCAGATAGCAAATTAATTTTAATGATTACTTTTAATATCTATGTTCTCATATCTCAGTGTGCTCCTTGCTGGCTCATAATGGAAACTATAATGAAGTACATTAATATAAAATATTAATTACTTACTTTCCTCTTATTTAGCATATTTGTTTACAACATTTGCAAAACTATTTTGTTCAACTTGTTTATTTTCCTGTTTCATCCAATATTCATAAACTACCAAAATGAAGGACACGATGTGTCCCGTAAATCATTTTTCCAGAGAAGCACAGATCATACTTGAAAGGCAGACCTGCAATTGTGTGTGCATGGGTCCCGTTTTTTACCTTGCTGTCTTTGGAAGCAATAGCACCACTCATTGTTGGATATCAAACTGTCCTTGTAGGTGTCACAAGAATTGAAGAATGCCTTGACACAGTGCTCATTCTTATCAAGGTAGATGCTCCCAAGCTCTGACTGGTCCAACAGCAGGTCATAGTTTGTATCCAGTCTGTTAAACATCCAGCCAAGGGAATCCTTGCAAATTGGCAAAATACTTGTATCAAATCCTACAAACAAAAAGAGAAAAATAGGCAAGCAAAATAGGCAAGCTGTCATAAAGAAGCAAAGTAAAGCACTAAAATAGGCAACGTAGGCAAGACAACTATTATGTATTCATAAAAGGCAGGGCAAGAAAATGGATAGAACTTGGAGATTGACCTGTTAAGTGCGGTAAAATAAGCTCAGAAAGACAAATGTTACAAGCTTTCCCTCAGAGGAAGAAATGTGACTCTCCAAAAATATAATGTTTATAAAAGAGGGACAGTTTGAAGGTGGGCAACAGTAGGTAGAGGTAGCAGGAAATAAATGTAATGAGCCCACCAAACACTGGCAAAAGGAGCCGAGGAGGAGGAAGTCTAAGAAAGAATAATGTAAAAGAGGTAAATTTTATCAAAATACATTATGATCATTTTGTAAATGTCACGAGGAAGCTCTTTGTACAATTAATTTATGCTAATCATTAAAACTGGAAACATAGGTAGGTCCAGGTGATCTGATGAGAAGTTCTCTCAAAGTACAGAGAACAAAGAAATTCTGTACTGTTTAACCTGCTTTGGAAAAAAAATTAAGGCCCTAAATTGTGTGATTTGTTTCAAAGTAAAGTCAATGTGTGAATATATATCATTCAGGAGATTTGTGGTAATAATTTGGTGTTTATTCAATGGTAATTCATATTATAATGTTATTTATGTTTTTGGTTCAATTTTCTTTCATACACCATATATAATAACAAGTTCTTTGTTGGATACGTACATGTGTAAATATTATTGAATAATAAAATCCAACAATAAACACTAACATTCATTTTGTCCAAAGGAAATGAAGATACTATTTTCACTGAAAACTAATTAACACATGATAAAAATCAACTTTAGCATTGCTTTGTATCATGATAAAATAATGGTGATTGTAGTTTTCATGTAAATCTGTTTGTCAGAGCACTGACCACTAAGAGACTTCTGTCACACCAAGGGTCCTAACTTTGAGAAAAGAGGGAAAGGAAGGAAGGGTAAAGAAGAGAAATAAAAAAGAATATGTAAGAGCAATGAATCATCATTCTAACAGAGAAGTAACTAAAATGGCACAGAAGAAGACTGAGAAGGGATGGAAGAAGAGGAGGTATTTCAAAGATTAATGGTAGAGTTCTCATTATTAATGAAATGAATCAAACTACAGAGATAAGATCTTAGAAACACTGAGAAGGAAAAATACCTACCACGCAAAGAAAGAAACAACAAAACTTGGACACATTATAGTCAAATTACTCAAAACCAATGATAAGAAACACGATTCAAAACAGCCAGGAGCAAAATACATGTTCTTAAGAAGAAAGAAAATTGCACACTGTTCAGATAAAACCCAAGTCAGCCAAAATATAATGGAAGATCTTAGAATAGCAAACTGAAAAAATATTAATCCCTCAACACAGAGTTCTTTGCCTACTGAGAATATCTTTTAAGAAGGAAGCAGCGATACTTTTTAAGAAAACAAGAATGGGAGATAATTTATTTAAGCAGATGTGAGCCACAAAAAAACATACTCAAAAATGAGCTTTTGGCCTAGCATACATTATAATGCAGGTTAAAATTTACATCTCAATAAAAACTAAAGAATTCTGGAAAAATTTCTTTTTTTCCTTGCAAATATTGAAAAACAAACTGAAAATTAGCAATATATTCTTTGCTTAAAGCATGTATACAAGAAAAATGCATTACATATGGAGATTTCTACACTCTGACAGTAATCAATGTGACGTGTAGATAGAAGACTAGTAAGGATATAGAAAATCTGAACAAAACTATCAATGATTAACAGGTTTGAAATAATTTATGCTGACAGGCAAGTCCAACAAATAATAAAAAAATTACAAGTTTCTTTCAGATGAACATGAAACATAATTTTCTATCATAAAATAGTTCTTAATAGATTTAAGAGAACTAAAGTCATGCAAGGTTTTATCCCAGTACATAAAAATATTATTACAGTAATTATCAATAATAGAAAATACATGAGGAAAATATGACTTAGAAAATTCGGCTCCATAATAAATAATTGAAAAGAGTACTAGTTTGTTCACTAGCAGAATGTTTCCAGAATCCTACCCTAGCTTGGTAAATTATGGACAGGTTTAAATTTTAAATACAAGACCAAATGCAACAGAGGTATTTATTTTTGTGAGAAAAAAGTTTATTACAGAATATAAAGGGTGATAAACTAAAGTCAATTTAGAAATAAGGGGGAAAAAGAATACAAAGCCTGATGCTGTTGGCTCATGCCTGTAATCCTAGCTGTTCAGGTGGCTGAGATCTAAGGATTGTGGTTCAAGGCCAGGCCAAATAAGAAAGTCCACCAGAAGTAGAGCTGTATCCTGAAGTGGTAGAGCAGTAGCCTTGAGCATAAAAGCTCAGGGACAGGGCCCAGGTTAGGCCTTGAGTTCAAGACCACCACCACCAACTACAACAACAAAATCTGAGTAATAACAAGAGGCTCAAGTTTTCTCTAAGATGTGTAAGTTAGACCTAAAATATAAACATATTGAAATCACATACAAGGCTCTGGTTTATATGCAGGAGTATGAATCTATGATGTAACCCCGCTAGCCAATACACAGTTTAACAAAATGAGTTAAGAGGAAGCTGAAATATGTCTTGTCTGTAGGTGAGGAGGGGCAGGAGAGAGGGGGACAGACAATGGAGATGGGATGAATACACTCAGAATACTCAAGATACACACTTGAAAATGGAACTGAAAAATGGATAGGACAGGTGTGGATGGAGGAATAATGGAATAGATGATGCTGATCAAGACGCATTGTACATGCAAGTGAACATGTTAAGCGGAAATTCCTGTGTACAACTATTTGAAGATAATAATAAAAATGAAGGAAAAGAACCCACAAAGCAAAGAGACTTTATAAGGTTAAAATAAGTAGATAGTCATAATAAAAATGTTGTCACATTCTATATGAAGTGTGATTTTTTAAAATATTAACAATAAGTCTATATGCTCATCTATTAACAATAAGTATATTAACAATATGTCTATTAACAATAAATATGTTAAGTATATATCTATTAACAATAAGTATTTTAACTATATGTCTATTAACAATAAGTATGTTAACTGTATGTCTATTAACAATAAGTATGTTAACTATATGGCTTTAACAATATGTACGTGTGCTCATAGGAAACTGAAGCAAGTCAGAAGAACTAAATTTGCTTGGTTGCCAGTTTTGTTTCTAACCTCATGATGGAGAAAAGGGATGGGATTGGAAAGAGAATACTAACTTCCTGTAATATTTGTCAAATAATTTAGTCTCAAAGGGATCATTCTAAAATTGCTTGTGTTTGGTTAACAAGGATACTTGGATGCATAGACTCATTTGTCTTCGAATTGAACAATATCTAGTAGTTATACTTCTAAGTTATTTTGTTCCCTTTTGATTTATATTTTTCCCCTTTGATTTTAGCTATCACCTCTTGGTGTTTGTAAGATGTCATTATGCAAACATTCAAGGATTTTACAAAAAAATTCAAGTAGCACTGCAGAAATAGTCTACAAGAATAATTGTAACTTTATATATAACACTTATTACTTTGTGAAGTATATATAAATGTATACATATAAATTTTATTTAACGTTTTCTTTTTGCTTTTTTCTTCATCCTGTGGCTTGAACTCAAGGCTTGGGTGCTGTCTCTGAGTCTCCTCATGCTAAAGACTAGCACTTGAGCCACAGTGCCACTTCTGGCTTTTTCTGAGTGGTTTATTGGAGATAAGAGTCTCATGGACTTTTCTGCATGGACTGTCTTTGAACCACGATTCTCAGATCTCAGCCTCCTGAGTAGTTAGGATTACAGGCGTGAGCCACTGGTGCCAAGCCTCTTTTTGGTTTTAATTCTGCCAAAATGTCTTTCTTTAAGTAGAGTTAGTTCTCTTTTTTTAAGTAGGTTACTTTTAAAAAGTGGTCTGGGATATATTTTAAAAGTAAGGTACTGAATTCACACACAAAAAATAAAATTCACAGTATTTCATGTGGTGAGGAGCAGTTGACTTAAGGACTGCACATTCTCCAATGTTAATAGCTAGTTTTTACTATTTGGAATATTATAGAATTGTGAGTGGATATTGTTATTACACTCAGTGTACATATGTGAAAATGGAACCAGGTAACTTGAAGGGATGGGTGGGATTCAAATAGCTGAGGCAGCGATCATCACCTTTGGTGACACTGTTCAAGATGCATTTTACTCATACATTGATTATGCTGACTTGAGCCTTCTTTGTACAGTAATCAAAAATATTAAAAATTATGAAACTAAATAAGAATAAAATCAATTACTGTCTTCTAAGGAAAAAAATAAAGGCTAATGAAATTTTCATTCCTGGCATCTAGTAAGAAAGTTTCCAAGAAGAAAAGACATGAAAAATTTATTGCAATACGCTGTTCACTTAATACATTTTTTACAAATTTACTTTACAGAGAATTAACATAATTCAGCCAAATACAGAATAAATTTACTTGTATGTAATTTAAATGTCTATATATTAAGACAATATGTTAGTCATTCTAAGGTGCATAGTTACATTTAATTAGAGAGAAAGTTATAGTGTATACTAAATAAAAAAAGAGAACCCCAGATGTCTTAATTAGAAATACCAAAACAAGCAATAATCTAGATCTTTCTTTTTATTACTTGAAATAAAAAAAGAAAATTGATGAACTAACTTTAGAAATCTTTGTTTTAAACAGATGGAATATCCTGCTATATCTAGGAAGATCCTCATTACATTGAGACAAGGCATTTTATATTTAAAGCCATTTGATTCCCAAGTCAATCTTCCTCTCAATGTGAAGACAGCATGACATAAAGTGTGCAGTATGTGGGTAAGAAATTAGGATGTATTCATTTGCCCTGGGGCTTTAAGTGATTCCTTCATTTTTCTCTGGCTGTGAAGAACATGAGACGAGCAGAAAAGCAAAAACAGACATTATCTTAATCTAAGTCAGACTGCTAATCTGGGAGTTTTGCGTAAGTGTTAGCATCCTGAAGTTTACCAAATTGGTATCACCCCCAAATAGTCTTCTCAATTGGAGCTCTATTTTTAAAAACTAGATGTCACATTTATCCTGTTTAATTTTCAATGACTTATGAAAGCATACTGAGGAATATAAACCATATTAGAAAAAGATAACTTTATGAAAAATGCACTAAAATCTGTAATCACTGGCATCTATAATAGTTATTGACATCTGTAAACTAAGGATATACATTCATTTAGAGCTTTTCCTCCCAAAAGGAAGGACTACACACATGCATTTACTATGTTCACACCTCCAGACAATATTATCTAATTTGATTTTCAACTTTTATAAGGAAAGCTATATTCTGATTGGCTCAGTGATAAATGTTTATGTCATATTTATCAAAGTTTTATAAATTCAAAAACTTTCGAAAGTCTTTTAATTGAGAATAGCCTAAATGTTTTATAAACTTATGGTTTTGTATTTGAATAATTTAAATACACTGTAATAAGAGTGGTTTAATATTAAAGAAAACAGCTATGAAGGTTTGATAGCATTTTGTATATTGCTATCAGTTTTTCTATTTAGGCACATTTTTGTTGGTTTTATGAGCATTGATCAAATTAATTAACACTTCATCTTTTCCATATTTAAAATTAGAAGAAACATTATTATTTTTAATCAAATCATTCAGATGATACACTTTCTGAAGTAATTATGTTTTTAGTAAACCAACTTAAAAATGATTTCTATCATCTTCCATAACTTAAAATCACATAGTTATGCTAGATTAAGTCAATTAATAGACATTTCTTAATTATTATCTAATTTAACATTTAATATTAATATTGATTTAATATTAACATTTTAATATTTAAATCTAAAAAAGATAAAATATTAAGGCATGCTTTTGTATTTATATATTTGGTCTCTAATTTTTATGGCTTAGCAAATTTTATATACTGTGATCTCTTAATAAACAGTTTAGTTTTCCACATTAAAAAGATATACTATGAAGCAGCATATGGCTATAAAAACCATAAATTTATATTCATAAGCCTTGCAAATATGAAAAATGCTGAGCCCTAACACTTTATAATTACTTACCTCAGAGTTTTCTCTACAAAATGAAAATTACTCTAATTTGAAATTATATGAATGCATATGAATGTTCAAAGAAAAACAACTTTGTTTCAAGATATGCAAGATACTATTTTGTTAGAAATATAATTTTATGTCAATATGTAATGACAAATTTGCCCCAAATGTATGAAGAAAACCTAAACAAATACGCTGCAGAAGAGTCAATTATCCAGTTAAAAATGTGAGACCCTATCAGAAAAAACAAAAACAAAAACAAAAAACTGAAGTTCATAAAGGGTGGCAGAATGGTTCTAGTGGTAGAATGTCTGCCTAGAAAATATGAGGTCCTGAATTCAAACCTTAAGACGTGTCCCCCACAAAAAATAGGTATAAGATACAAACTGTTATTCTACTTCCTATGTCTTCGATAAATTGCTGACAAAATTCCTATTGTTAAATTTTAACTGAGCTTAACTATTACCCAGGCAGACAATATTTTCCCTCTAATCAGAGTTGTTCCAAGGGCGTATTTCTCTACAAAATATTCAGATGTTATTGGAAGTAACATCTGCGTCCAAATAGTAAATCTGATAAGTAGTAAAATGTTTGTTTGTTTTCCTAATTGAGCCAATAGATAGAACTGCAATCTCCAAGACAATCAAGCTTAACCCATGCAGAAATCTTACTGCTCCTTTCTGGCCGCAGTAATGCTTTGGCCTTCTTGTTCTGGCTTCCACTTTCATGAAGGGCCTTGAACCAGTCCCGTAACCTATTGGCCACTTCTCTGAACTCCAGGTCACTGCACACTAAAAACAGAGAGAAGAAACAGAGCAGATCAGTGGAAAAATCCACGCTTTCCTCCAAAGTATGCTGATTCCCTGAAAGGTAACAATGGCTACAGGAAAAAAGCAAGCGTCAAACAAGGACTAACGGTGATTCACTCATTTCAAAGCTAAGAGTTATTAGACTTCAAACATCATGTGATGTAACAGAATAGAAATATTTATTTAACAAGATTTCTTTTTTTCTTCTCTGTAGGATTTGATTTCTACTTCATTTGGTTGAGGACTCTCAACCAATGTGTGCATAGGAATGATTAATACACATGCTCTTTCAATTTATTTTAATCCCATATGCTTACTGGGGCACAGAAAAGGAAGGGGCATATTATCTGACATTAGGATAAACTGCAAAGTATTTTAAAAATGGTGCCATATCTTCTTGTAGAAAGCTCAATATTAAAGGTCCTATGGATGTAGCTCAGGACTCTTGCCCAGACTTCATGAGGCCCAGTATTGACACACAAGTTAGCATTTGGAACGAAATTAACTTCCCCTCTGATTTCCAGTGTTAGTTGTCAAAGGTTGTTTAAAATAGCCCACACAATAAGCAATACCAGAATATGTCCAATGCTAAAGCATGGCTTCTAAATTCAGTGATCTGCTGCCAAAGCAAGTGGATATACACAAACAGAAATATTTTACCTTGCTGAGAGAATATTGTTCCTACAAATATCTTGTGTATGTTGTAATTTCCTCACTTGACACTTTGTTCTAGTAATATTTTCCTTACTCATTTTGGAAAGTCATTATTCAGTGATGATAGAGTATATTACATGTTATTTAAGTAAGACCATATACCTTGTAACATAACATACATTATATAGATCAACAAAATATAGTGTAAGTAGCATAACAGAATTAGGATAATCTTCTTTCCCTTAAAACCTTATGTGAATGATATCCTAATGGTACCCAGTAGAGCGGATGGCACTGACAAGTCATTGTAGACTTTCAAAACACCAGAGTCAAAACTGATTCTACTCTCCATTCCATGGGAAATAGTAAAAAAAAATTAACATATCAAATGCAAGGGATAAAAATGCCTTCACACTTTTCCTAACATGATCAGGAGGCAGTGATAAATACAGAAGAAACTAATTCACCATTCTGGAAAATCTACAAGTTATTTTTTTAACACATGGACAAGTCTTATAAACTCCATAATCTTTTCCTAGGAAGTTACTGAAAATGTATGATATACCACAGAGAATACGTAAGAGAGAATTCAGCTAAGAAACAAGAACAAAAGACTAAGAGATGAGGGCATTCCTATAGTAAAGACATTTCCAGAAGATATTTTGCTTGAAAAGTGTAGAAACCAATGGTGGTTGTTAGAAAACTCTTGGCCAAAAGAAACAGGTCCCATGGTTTCCCTTATTTACAATAACTAGTATATGTCTGAGACAAGCAGTAAAGGTCAGATAAGTTGATGTTAGGTGAAATGCATCCGAAGATAAGGACACAAGTGGTTTTTTCTTTCTTGCTATTGTTTCTAGTGTATTTATAAGGTACCACATGATTTTTTTTGTTGCTTTGTATGTCCCTCCCACATGGTATAACCCCTGCTTTCACTGTATTTTATGTTGGTATAATTTGGGGAGGGGAAGGGAAAAAACAAATTGTTTAAACAGGGGGACAGGTGGACCCATTGCAACAATGAGATGTACAAGACGTTATGTCAAAAAACAAACTTTACAATTTAGGCCGGGGTGGGGGGTGTCATTGCGGAGGTGGGAGGGAAGGGATGGTAGGAGTAAAACAAAGGAGGAGGCAACAATGCTTGATAAGAAACGTACTCATGACCTCGCTCATGTAACTGTAACCCCTCCTCTGTGCAGTATTCTCACAATAAAAAACTTATTTAAAAATAAATAAATACAAAGAAAATAAAAAAAAGAAAACTCTTGGCCAGGGAATAGCAATACATAGAATGCATAGTGTACTTTCATCCGGATTAATAATAAGATGCTTTGAAAACCAGAGAAAATACCAAATTTATTGAAGACTGGTACTTGCTGAGACTGACTATAAGAACAATAAATAATATGAATATCTACACGGCAGCCTGTTGTCTCTGTTTAAGACAATATATTTCAAAGGTCTGCTCCCCTTACTCAAGATTGGAGAAGAAACACATAAAGTGCAAACAACTATGCAGGTATGCAAATGCATAATATGTCTATATGTAAAAATGCACATATAGATTTATGATATGTGTAGATATAGACATCTGCATCATGTCTCTATGTGTCTCTAAATGGACATACATGTATAAATCATCTGTCTATAGAACATCTATCGTCTATCTATTGCAATGGTCTGTCTCTCATCTATCTATTCATCTATTTGTCTGTCTGTCTGTCTGTCTGTCTGTTTCTCTATCTATCTGATAGAACTAACTCCAATTAGTTGCATTTGGGAAAACTGATAGACTAGAATGCACAATGCACAAGAGAGTTTTTGATATGTTTACATGCATACCTTTAAATATTAAAAAAATTTTCTGTGTATTACTTAGTGTAAATATTCAAAATTATTTTTGGCATGAATTTTGTTCCATGTTACTTTTCCACAAACCCGTTTCATCAGGATGATAAAATGTTCTTAAACAGATTGGTATGAGGTATTTTATCTTGTTAGTAAACGGGGATGTAACGACAGAGTGAGGACTATGTGTCTGAAATGGAATGACTATGACTAAACTGGGCTTTGGAAATTAAGTGATAGATATTTGAAAATAAGATTTTAGAACAGTTACGTTGAAGTGCAACCATATAACACACACGTTTGTATGTAATAATATGGTTTGTCTTTTTTTCTTTTTTTGGTTATGGGGCTTGAACTCTGGCCCTGAATGCTGTCCCCCAGCTCTTCAGCTCAAGGCTAGCACTTTACCACCTGAGCCACAGCACCATTTCTTGTTTTTCTGAGTGGTTTATCAGAGAGAAGAGTCTCACATGCTTTCCTGCCTGGGTTGGCTTTGAACCACGATCCCCAGATCTCAACCTCCTGAGTATCTAGGATTAGAGGCATGAGCTACCAGTGCCTGGCTTATCTTTCAGTGTATGTTTATACATGTATTGAATGGGAGTATCTTAAAATTTAAGAATCCAATAGTGATTATTAAACAGTAATACTAATACCAGGTAAGTGTTGTTTATTGTGATCAGTACTTCATAGATATCAACGTTTGTCATTACACAATCTGGGAGGCCTCTATCACTTTTGTGACCCCTTTGAAACATTAGGTCCCTGAGTCAGAGAAGCGAAGGACAAGGGGAGTGGCAGGAATTTTGGATCCACAAATTAGTCTTCAGAGTCTGAAATCAGGTTTCTTACAGCAAATCACTCCAGGTGTCTCAAAATTCAACAAACACTGAATGCTAAGTCAGAACCAAAAACGCAAGCATTCCTTTGCTCAAAGCTTCCCTTCCATTTCACTAAACAATAATAGAAGAAGATGAGTTAATTCTCAGTGCCAGTGTATACAATGTTAACCAACCACAGATTTCAAACACGGGACCCAACAGGCATACTATAACTCTATCTTCCTGACTTTAAAGGAGTCCTATGTTCTCAAATTCCATACTTAATGGAATACGATCACAGAGCTCTGATCGTACATGGGACCACATATTTCACAGTGTCTCACCGGGGCTAATGAGCGCACTTACTCAAGATGTGAGACTTCCTCCTATTTGTTTCAGAGATACTACAATAGATAATACCATTATATTTTATAAACCATGAGTCAACCTGACTACAATAGATAATACCATTATATTTTATAAACCATGAGTCAACCTGTCCTACCTACACACACCCACAAAAATACCTAGCTTCTACAATAATAAAGCATAATATTTACAAGATGACATCCCTGCTGCTCTGGCTACCAAGCCTTTGATTGCAAACCAACCACTCCACAGGCCCCCGGAACCAGACAGAGCATCACCACAGACATTTGACAGTTATGGGTGATTCACTGAAGTATTCCCCCCCTCCCCACCCCTAGCTGAGGAAGTCAATTCACATATTTTCTTCCTAGTTTCCAGCAGTTCTACAACACAAATTTATTTTCCTAGAAATAATCTCTTGCATTTATATAGCATGAAATGATTTTTAATGAGGTCTCACATTTGATTTTAATGTCAAGCCTGGAAGGTGAGGGAAGGATTATTATCTTTATTTTTAATAGCTGTGAAAGCCGAGAAGGAGAAGTTAAATGACTGTCTTGAATTTTGCAGCCAGTAGTAAAGGAAAACAGTGCTTGATCCTCATTCATCTCATATTTGTAGTCACGAATGAACCACAGAATAAGAGGTTATACTAGCATGATAAAAACCATTTTATATTAAAATTGAATACATGAAGCTGGATTTGACTCACATTCTTCAATTGTACCAAAATATTAACTAGAATATGATGTTATACAAAAAGCAAAGGAGTAAAAAAAAGACCTGGAAGGAGATATGTGTGTGTGTGTGTGTGTGTGTGTGTGTGTGTATACATATACACACACACACACACACACACATATCCACACCTATATATTGAGATATATGTATAATATATAAATATATATGTATATGTGTGTATCATAAACACTTTGAAACAAAAACATATAGTATAACCCATAGGATATAGATTTAAGCTGAGTAATTTAGAATGTAAGGGAGAAAAAAATCAAGGAAAGGAGCCCAGAGAGGAAAAGCACAAAATAAAGGATACATCTTTTATGAAGTTTAATATATGTTATGAGAGATCACATGTACATATATAACACATGAAATTAAAGTTTTTATTTAAAATATAAAAATGGACCATGAGAGTTTTCAGGGAGAAAAATATAAGGTCAGTTTGGCTAATAATGGTGAACAGGCTGATACCATTAGTTGTAATGGATTAAAGGTAATGAAATGAATTTGAATCAAGCATCCCTATGTGATCATCTATGTGATGCA